GGTTAATTATTTTCACTATTTATAGCTCAATGTTCACCACAGTAATGGAGCAGAAAATGGAAAGTCACAGGTGCTTTGTCTTATTGCCTATTGTTATATAACCAGTCTGTATGAGACCAAAGAAATGTTTGGTGTTTAATTACATTTAAATATTTTTTGTGAAAAGCTCATAATTACATAGTAATGATGTTTCCAAAAAAGTTCCTTTAATCTCTATGTGAATAATGAAATTTACCTTTAACGCTTCTTGGGACAATAAACATTGTGTTTGTTAACAAAATGAAAGAAATCGCTTTTTTTAATTTTTAAGACATCAATTGTCTAAAGTTTTGGCCACAATTTCATGCATTTAAGGTATTGTTACTTAAGCACCTACTATTCACACGGACACAGTTATCTTTTGCCTTTGAGGATAGAAGCCAAATATAGTTATTCACATAATGGATTGAAAGATTCAATACATTCAGCTGACACGGGGTATTCCATAATATCTATACTGTCTAACCTATTCCTACACATTCTGTTAAACTGTCCTTCACGGAGGCATCCCTCCTATGTGGTTAATGCATGGCCTCCCACCTGCATCAACTGCTGTCATTATCACTTTATTACAGTAACTGATTCTTCTTGGGCGCAGCATTTCCCAGAACTGTGATCTGACCTTTTACTATACAAGACCTCTAATCTTTTTTACCTCTTATTCAATTCACAGTCAGGTGAAAAAATCGCTGCCATTTTCTCACCCCCTACCACAGTTCTTCAGGAGTGAGGCTCATATTAATTTAGCAGAGAGTTCAAGTTTAACATCTCTACACAACAACAAGCAGACAGGTCAACACCAGTGTCCTTGCTCAACCCTCTAGGGGCAGTTTTAATGACAAAGAACTTTCAGAGAAATGCTAAAAAGTATCTAGAGTTGGTTTTGGGTGATGGATCCGTTTCTTCAGGCCGCTGTAACAAGGTGGCACAAACTTGGTGGTGTCTCTTGCCCCAAACCCTCTTCTGCTTCTCCTTGCCTTGCTCTGTAAATGGTTACAGTGGCTCACTTTCTCATATCCGCCGTGCTCATTCCTTCTATAGGTCCTTTGTACTTGTCTTTCTTCTATGCACAAACCTCTTTCTCCAGAATACTCTCACATACTTCAGGGCTGGTCTTCAAATGACCCTTCATCACCAGCACAGGTTAAACACCCAAATCCACTCCCTTCTTCCTCCTGTTTTCACTGTCTGAAATTATACCTTAGCCTCTTTCTCCAAATTATCCCAGACCTAATACTCTCACATACTTCAGGGCTGGTCTTCATATGACCCTTCATCACCAGCACAGGTAGAACACTCAAATCCACTCCCTTCCTCCTCCTGTTTTCACTGTCTGAAATTATACCTTCAATTGACATGTTTACTTATATATTCTCTGTTTCTCTCATTACCATAAATTAATAAAGCTAAGGATTGTATCTCTTCATTTCTGTATGTCTGGGATCTGCTAAAGTACACAGATGCTCAAT